GCATAGGGGTGGGTGGGGGTGGTGGGGAGTGTGGACAAGGGGGGTGAGTGGGGGGAGGGGGTTGAGGCGGAATAGGGAGAAGCTGGGTTCAGCCCAGGCAAAAACGCGAAACATGCGTTGAGGCAGCAGGGCGGTGCTGCTGCGCGATTGCCATGAGGAGCGCCATGGGCGTACTCACAATTGCAGGCTCTGTCTTCGAAACACCCCCCACTCTCCCACTGGCCACTCAAAATCCCTCTTGTTGGTGGAGCAGCTGCATTGTCACAGTTGCTGTGGCGCCACAAAGTATTGCAAGCCTCACGCAGTCACCTGAGGTCCCCACAACCCTTCCCAACATGCCACACCCACGAAGTCCCCACCTAAAAATGCCGCACGTGAGGGCCTCCTCGCACGCCACCTGCCCGCCGTGCGCCGCGACGTCCATGAAGCGCGCGGCTTGGTTGACGCTGGCGCCGTGGTAGTCCGCGCGCCCCACGTGGTCGGGTTCCACGCTCTGGGGGACGCCCTCGCACACGCCCATCTTGAGCCGCGGCCCACGAAACAGCAGCGCGCCGTCACCCGGGGCGTGCACCTCGGCCAGCCCAGGCAGGGACAGCAGCGCGGGCGGCCAGGGCGCGTACATGAGCGCCTCCTGAGCCAGCAGGCACCACTGCAAAGCCGCGCTCGCTTCAGGGAAGGCGAGCATGTACTTGAGGTCACCCTCCTGCTGGCGGCACAGGTAGCCGCCAGGGAAGGCCTCCAGCGTGGCCAGCAGCGTCGTGCCCAGCACCGCAGCCAGGGCGCGCACGTCCGCCTCGCGCCGGGCGCGCGCCAGCGCCTTGGCACCCTCCACAGCTGCAAATACGAGGGTCACGGGCGGCATGGCAGCGTCCTGCGGCGGCGCCAGCGCGTCCTCGGGGCCCAGCACAGCCGCAGCCGCGCCCGGGGCGTCGAAGAAACCGCGATCTGTCTGGTGCCACCCTGGGCCAACCGCCAGGGCGCCGCACCACACCTTGGCGCGCTCCGCCAGGGGCTGGGGCAGCACGCTGTACACACGCAGACGCTGCTGGTCGCAGGCCCCACTGCCGATAGAGGAGGACCGCGGCAGCCGTCCCGAGCTTGTGTGGGCCAGACCCAGCAGAGACTGCTTGGGCTCTGGGGTCCTGGCCGCCACAGAACCTGCAGCAGCAGGTGCGCGGTCCTCCCCTCCAAAGGCGTCCGCGCAGTTGACACCCGGCACCTGCCACTCGCCCATGTCCAGGCACACAATGCTGGAGCCCTTCACGCCCTCCGCCACAGCGTAGGCGTTGCTGCGGCGAACACAGGGCAGCCAGTCACTGCCGGCAGAGGAGCAGATGGTGATCAAATGACGTAATTGAGGAGCACACCAAAATGACGCAACGGCGCGTACCCACACTTGCCGGTGTGACAGCAAAGTCGCTTCGCAGGCGACTGATTAACCCACAAGGGCCCCATACAGCACACCCAGCCTGCTGGCTGCCTGCATATCAACCTTGCCTTGCCATGCGCACCCGCAACACAACTCAGAAGCCCCCAATACCATCCCGCGCCCCTCACCAGCATGTCCAGAGTGACCGCAGCCCAGCGCGCCCCACCAGGGTGCGGTCGTTATAGCCGTGGTGGTCCACCGCCCCCAGCTCTTCATGGTGGTCCTTGACCAGGTCAAATGACGCCGCCTCAAGCAGCACCTGCCCGCCGTTGGCCATGTCGCACACCACTGCGTTCAGGGTGGGGGGGAAGGCGGGTGAGATGCGGTGGCCACTGGTGCTTGCATAATCCTGGGGGCTGCATGCCGCGGCAGCAAAGAGAGATCGGTAGGCAACTTCTCAGCCCTTGAAAATGCAAGCATCCAGCATCTTCCCCCCTCCTGGTTGACATACGGCCGCCTTTGCTCACGCTTGGCCAGGCGGAACACTGCACTGCTGTGGACGTCCTCATCTGCCAGGGCCCCGCTAGCAACGCCCATGCGCACGCGCAGCCCATACAACAGCCGCCCTTGGGGTGCGCTGCCCGCCGCCCGCAGCATGCTGAAGAAGCGCGCGTGAGACGCGCGCGAGCGCCGGCTCCAGCCGCTGCCAGTCGGCGCACCGCTGGCGCTGGCGGCTGACGGCATGGCGGCGCCGCCGCCGCTCTGCGTCCTGCTCGCAGAGTGGTGGACCAGGTCGTTGCCCTCGCGCTCGGTAAACGACGACGCCGACGCTGACAGGGACATCACATCGGACGTCATGCGCGAGGCAGGAGCCCCCAGGGATTCCTGCCGCGACATGCTGGAGCCGCCGCGCGACGCCCGCCGCAGTCCCGACGCCAGGTCAGCGCTGCGCGGGCTGCCAGGGCGAGCGCCGGGATTGGTGATGCTGTCCGTTGCACTGACGTCGCTAATGGTGCTGCCCTCTCGGCTGGCCTTGCTGTTCAGCGAAGGCAGATGGCCCAGCTGTAGCTCCTGCTGCTGGTGCTGCTGCTCTTGCTGCTGGCGATTGCCATTACCGCGCGCATCATCCTGACCAGGCGCCAGGAGCATGCCCATGCTACCCACACCCAGCAGCTGTCGCAGGCGCCCGCGCTGGTGAAGGGCTGCCCCAGCGGTGCTGTGGGCTGAGCCCTCTGTCATGCTGGCGAGGCCCTCGTCATCGCTCTGCCCCGTACCCCGCAACGATGATGAGCTCATCAGGCCCAGGGGCCAGTCCACCTAGGAGGGGGGACATGGTTGCATGGTGAAGGGGTAGCCAGGCGTGACAAAGGGATCAGACTACAACTTGAAGTTCCTGCACGTGCAAGCCCGGCTGCAGGGTCAAGGCCATGGGGGGAAAGCGCAGTGGGATCATGCAGCTGACTCAAATCTGATGGAGATGCAGAAACGGGTGACAGGGTGCGAGCAACTCCATGTGCCACTCGCCAAGCAGCAGAGCCACTGCTGTTGTGCTTTACGGGCCCAGCTCTGCGTGCTTTCCGAGTGTCCAGCCCTGCCTTCCCTGACACCCCCCCCCCACCAGCCCCGCACACCTTGTGCAGGGCTTGCTGCGCCTGCAGGCAAAAAGCCACCGCGTCCTGCGCATCATGAAACGCCACCGCCCAGCTGTCCCCCTCCTGCTCGAAGATGTGGCCCGCCTGGTCATGCACGGCCTTGCGCATGACGGCGTTGTGCATGGCCACGGCCTTGCGCGTGAGGCTGGGGCACGCTTTCATCAGCTCTGGAAATGCGGCGCGAGGTTGTGGGGAGGGGAGGTTGAGGTGAAGGACTTGGCAACCTAGGATTTCCTCCATCTCCTCAGCTCCAGCACCGGCAAGATGGCAAGTTCGCTGGCCCAACTGGTCCTCGACGGGCACACAGCACACGGCCCCGGCTAACGGCTGACAGTCTTCAAGTCAAGTCATGCCAGGCAACGCACAACGTGGCTGCGCCGCGAGCCTGCGGACCCCAGACACCCACCGGGCGCCGCCCTCACCTGAGTAGCCCTCGACGTCAGTGACCACCACGCTCAGGCGCGCCCCGGGCTTGAGGGAGCCCCAGCGCGCGCGCTTGCGTCGCAGGTCGGCGTCCCTCAGCCATCGAGAGCGGAAGAGGACCCATCTGCTGGCAACCAGCACCAGCGCGCACATGAAGAGGAACAGCACGCCGCCCAGCGCAACCAGCACCCAGGCCCAGGGCTCCAGCAGGCTGCGATCCGGGACGCACACCAGCACGGTGCCGCCCTCCCCCCACTGCTCCCGGTAGCCGTGCAGGCAGGCGCAGCCCTGGTACTGGTAGTACGCGGGAGGCAGCTCCCACTGCTCACTCATCTCGCCACGCAGCTCCCCACCATCTGCGCCGCCAGCCGCCGCAGCCTGCTCCTGCTCCTGCAGCAGCGCCTGGATGGCGGGGGAGCAGCTGGCCGCCGCGGCCTCAGGGGACTTGCGGCGCAGCGGGCGGCAGCGCAGGTGGCTGTTGTCGCTGCGGGGGGCGTCGTAGGGCTCAAACTCCAAAAAGCAGGGCAGCAGCGCGCTGCTGGGGCAGCGTGAGGGCACCACAGGAGAGCCGGAGGCTCCAGCCTGTCGCGCAGCCAGGGCCACGTGGCTCGGCACACATGACATGCTCGTGTTGCGCAGGTTGATGCGGCGCAGGTAGGGCAGGCCCCCCGCCTCGTCAGGCAGCTGGCCCAGCAGGCCCACATTGCCGGCAAAGCTGGCCTCGCGCAGCCCGTAAGCCAGCCTGTGGTTTGAACATGGGGAAAGCGGAGAGAGATGATGGAGGGTGGCACGGAGTTTGGCGGTTGGACAAGGGGCGACGGGGCTGTGCAGCGGCATTGCAGGTAGCACAGTTGGGAGAGGTTTCAGAGGCCAACATATCAATGTGTGCAGTCCTTTGCTCAACGGCAAGTAGCACCTTGTCCCCATGAAGGGGCCCCTTAGCACCCACCCCAGGGAAGGCTGCACTGTGCCAGTGAGCCTGTTGCCCGCCAGGTTGAGGGTGGTGAGCTGTGGCAGGAAGAACATGTCCTCAGTGAGAGTGCCGCTGAGCCGGTTGCCGCCTGCGTCAAAGGATATCAAGTAGATCAGCAGGCTGATGCGGTCATCAAGGGTGCCCTCGAGCCTGGTGTGAGGGGAGGGAAGGCGGAGTCAGGCTGAGAGAGGGGGGCAGCGAGGGTGTGCTGGGGCAGGATGAGAGCGTTCACGGTCGACAGTGGGCTTCGGCCTGCACAAGAGGGTTTGTGACTCGCCATCTCCTCTGAAATGGCGAGGTAGACCAAGCATGTGTGACTCATCACAGGCGGGGCGTGGTAACATCTGGAGAGCATTGACGCCAGGGTGCTGGCACACCCTGTTGGAGCGCATGGCCTCCCCCGATCCCTCACATGTTGCTGCTGATGTCCAGGTAGGAGAGTATGGGGATCAGGTAGATCTCCTCAGGCAGCGTACCGCCGAAACGGTTGTTGCCCATCAGCAGGGATACCAGCTTGGTCCAGTTCTTGGGAGAAGGGGAGAGAGGGGGACACCAGCCAGCTCCTTTCAGGTTGATGTGAATCGTGACACTGAACGATTCGGATTTACTGCCCAAGCAGCTGTCAATTATAGAGGGTCTGCCTGTGGTGGGCTGATTGGGCACTGGCAGAGAGCGTAGTTTCATCACACCGCCCCACAGCTGCAGATCCTGCTCCCCCCGTCCATGGCCGGTTGCTCGCCCCATGCGCACCGCCGTGGCAGGCAGGCTGCCTGTCAGCTTGTTGGCGCTGAGGTCGAGGGCCGTCAGCTCACTGCAACGCGTTACAGACGTCGCAGGGCCGCTGAGGCGGTTGCCCCGCAGGCTGAGGACATGCAGGTTGGTGCCGGGCCCGCAGATGTTGTCGGGAATGTGCCCATGGAATGAGTTGGTCTGCAAGGTTGAGAGGGGCAGCCGCGCGCGCTTCAGCAGCTGAGAGGCAAACTCGACATGCTGCCCCCGAATGCGTCTAGGCGCCCCTCGCTCCGGGACAAAAGCGGCGTTGCTGTCGCTGTGGCATTGGATGAGGCAGCAGCTTCCTGTGAGAAGATGGTTGCAAGGCAGCGCTACCTCGCAGGTTGCGCTCTCCTGCTGCCGCCCCACCCACGCTCCGCACCCTCCCCCTGTCAGTGCGCGTCCCACCTGCAAGTCCAGCTCCACCAGGCGCGTCAGGTTGGCGACCGAGGGGGGTATCGTGCCCATGATGCCCGGCAGGTGGCCGTCCATGTCCGAGCCGTTGGCGCTGTTGATGCCCAGGTTTGAGCCCACGTTGAGCACCTCCAGGCGCGACAGGCCGCCCACCCAGTCCCCCAGAGTGCCTTGCAGGAAATTGGTGCCCAGCCCCAGGTACGTGAGGTTCTTCAGGAGTGCCAGCTCGCTTGGGATGGTGCCGCTCAGCCAGTTGTTAGCTGCAGGGCAGGTGGAGGCGATCAAAATTGTTAGCAAGGCTGCAGTCCCGCGTGGCAGGGGACCAATGCTCCAGCCTACCTGGTGCTACCCCCGACCCGCATCACGCACATCCCAGCTTATGACCCCTACCCATGCACCGAGCTTCAGATCGGCAATCAGCTCCTGCCCCCCCCCCTCAACCACCATGAGCACGCACCGACGTTGAGCACCCTAAGGTTGGCGAACCGCCCCCAGCGTGGCAGCAGCTGGCCCCCAACGTCATTGCCCTCCACGTCCAGCTCAGCCATCCCGCAGGCATGCAGCTGCTCCAGCGCGTCCATCAGCGCGGGGTCTGATAGGCTGCCGTTGACATTGTCCGCGCGCAGGGTGATGCCCATCACGCTGTGGAGTGCACTGCAGCGGCCCGCGGCGATGTCTGTGGGTCTGCAGCAGCTGACGCCCATCCAGCGGCAGAAGGCAGGGGGCCCTGACCGGAGCGGCGCAGGCACGATGCTGTCGCATGGCGAGCTCCTCACCACCTCCCAGGTCGTGCGCGCACGTGTCCAGGGCTTGCTGTCGTTGAACGTCAGCCGGTAAAACTCCACCAGGGCGCCACACGCGGTGCGCTGGCACGCCAAGCCGCATACGCCGCCCAAAATGCCCGGACATGTGAAGGGCGACACCAGGATGTCGCCGACAGCCGACGCCCGCGGCAGAAAGACGGGTGCAGGTGCTGCCGCCCAGCCGCCCCCCGCTGCTGATAACATGCGTGTGATGAACACAAGGGGAGAATGTGGGAGTAAAAATCATAGCCGAGTTGAAGCATAATATGGGACACTGGGGTGCAGGTGAGGTGGGCGTCTGCTGTTGCGACACACGCATGCTTGCCATGCACCGTCCAGCTATTTCGAGAAGCCGTTAGGCCCAGCACCACAACCATGCCTATCTCCTCAAGGCGGATGCAGCCTTAGGGATGCGCTGTCCAACCTGCCCTCTACCGGGCGCTGTTGCTATTGATGCGCGCGCCAGCCGAGCCCAAGCACCAGGACGAGCGGCAAGCGAACAGCGCGCCGCGTCGACTTGACGCAACCCACAGGCCACTGCAGGCAGCTTGGTATATGCGATAGGAATTCCACAAATTTTCCCTTTGCTTCCTTGAAAGGGCACACACTCACCCAGAGAGGTGACAGCCATCACCACCAGCCACAGGACGCGCGTGCGCATTGTTCGGTCCGCTGATGAGCCCGCGACCCTCACTTTTGCCAAGCGCCGCACCTCCGCTGCGAGATCATTTCGATCAAAGCGAGCACGTCAGGGGGGTAGATAATCTCATCTTAGCACAATTGCGGGTAGATAATCTCATCTTACCACAATTGGCGGATTGTAATTGGCTACAGTCGCTGTCGTCAGGTCATGGTGCAGTGCCGACGGTTTTTGCACGGCGAGAACTCGGGCTGCCAGCTAGGACAAGCTCGCTGTGACAAATGCTGCTGGTGGAGAGCTGCTGGGGAAGTGAGGACTGATTTCAGGCCACAACGCTCAGGTCACATAAACTCATCGGGGTCGTGCGAGCCTAAAACCCAGGAAGCGGTGACATGTTGCGCGAAGGCGACGAAGGTGCCCTGCTGTGTGTGCGGCGCGGCACAAGCCCCGTTCAGCCTCGCCCCTCTTTTGGTAGCTCACTTGCCACCCCTGCCTGCATCTATGTATTAGCACAGCCCATAAACACAGGCAGCCACCCCTGCGCTAAGATTACTCTACCTGCAAAACAAGGCGTCCACCTACGTGACTCATTGACCTAGCGCATATGTCTACTTTGCACAAGCGGCGAATGTGATGAATTGCAAGGGGTGGCACATGCATGCAAGCTACCTGAATTTCATCAGGTTATAACGGCCTGAATCACGTCATATCAAGATTGCATGCGCATGCACAAGCATGGTGATCGGGCCTGCTGTTAGGTCGATTCAGCACCAAGGCTAGAGGTGGGTTGACAGCAGCGTTCCCAACAGCTCGCTCGCTCACTGGCAGCTCGCACATGGCCTCTCATACAACCTCTGCCCCTGTGCGCTGCACCCTCTCATAGGGCCAGGCGGCGCCCGTGTGTGTGCGCTCGGCTGGGGGTGGAGCATCGGCTGCAACACGCCGACGGCCGACGAGTGGTGGGGTCGTGGGCGATGCCACCAGAGGGCACTGCAAGGCAGCCTTGCCATCCTTCAAGCCGCAGTCGCCGCAGCCGTCACCGCTGGGGCCCTCCTCCTCCACCACATTCATCTCACCCAGCTGCACGGCGATCTGCGCTGCCAGGTCCTCTGCGCGCACCAGCATGCAGCCTAGGGGCTCTTCAACAAACGGAGGGCCACACGCGCCGCTTGATGCCGGCGCTCCATCGACAGCGGCTGCGCCGGCTGTGTGAGTGAGGCCAAGACTACCGCCAACAACAGTGCTATGACTGCTTCCGCGGCTGCTGCTGCTGCTGCTGCTCATGCAATTGCTGCTGCTCGCGCTGCTGATGGCGGCACCGCCGTGAGCCGCGGGTCTGATGCTGTTGCACGGCCTGCCGTTCTCATGGCTGCTCAGTGCGCCGCTGCTGATGGCCAATAGGCATTTGCTGGGATGCTGGCTGCTGCTGTGCGTGACAGCCGCAGCAAGTGAGGATGCGGCCCTGCAGCCACGCTCGGTCGCATCGCCAACACTGGCGTCGACGCCGCCAGCTGTGCTGGAAGTGCAGTCGCCGTTGCCGCTGCTCACATCGTCTGTAGAGTCATCGGCTGCTCTGCCGGCCCCTGAGCCCATGAGCAGCGCCGCCGACAGCTCCGCAACCTGAGCCGACTTTGCGGCCAGCTGGCGGCGGAGGTCGCTGATCAGGTTCTCCTGGCGCAGCAGCTCCTCCGTGTTGGCCAGAGCCCTGTCCTGGAGATCACTGAGCGCATCCCTCAGGTTGCGCGTCACAGCGTGCAGCATGCGCGATGGCTCATTGTCCGCAGCGTCACGGGCTGAGCGGCTGTGTCCTCCAGCGCGCGCCGTCTCCGCTCCTCGTCCCGATCGTGCCGTTTCTGCGCCGATCGATGCTCCAGCTCTTCCTTCGCGCGTCCATATGGACGTTGCGCGCCTGCCCTTCATTCGCAGAGCGCGGGAGACTTGTGTTTGACGAGCAACAACGCAGGTGCCGTCCGCACTCAATTCAGGAAGTTGCTCCCCTATTATCATCGATATACCAGAGGATCACTAAATATACCTCAAGACGTGCACGCAGTGAGCAGGCATGCAGGAAGCGGCGGCAACGCAGCGGGGGGCGGAGGGGGGGCAGCTGCCAGTGGAGTGCTTCTGTGACACCGCCGAAGCGCCTCCTACCACCCATTTGGAGCGCGTGAGCCTGCATGCCTCTAAACAAACTCTTATGTGCAACCTATGTGGCCAATTACTGATGATGTTGGTCCCGGTGCAGCCGAGCAGGGTAGCAACCAACTGGATTTGCAGTTGGACAGCATGGGGCATGCAACGCTCACGCGCATGCGACAACGCTTTGAAAGGTCGGCCTGTGTTACATGTCTGTATGAATTTGGCGGGGAGACGCATGCACTGTTTCAGCGGCATGCATGCACGCACATGAGCGCCCCAACGCAATGCCCTCACCAAGATGCAGACACTTCTCTGACTCGGTCTCCATTTGTCGTTGAAGTACAAATAGATTTTTTGGAGCTTTGCTGCTCGAATATTACACCACATATGACATATATGAAAAAGCTGACACAATGTTCACAGCTTTGAAAAGCGCGGTGGTTTCCCTGCTGTGCGTGCCTGCACGACGGCCTCGATGTCCTGTCCCAGCAAGAACGCCGCGTTGTGGAGCGCAACGTGGTCCAGGCCGCCCCTGACACCACTGCCGCCAAAGCCGTTGCGCGTGTGCAGCAGCACTCGCTTGGTACCCCAGACCGCCAGGGGGCTCTTGGACGCAATGCCGCCAGCAGCCTTGTAAGGAAGGCAAGAGATGCGGGGTAGCAGGAAAGGGGGGGGGGCGGTTGAAAGGCAGGAGCAGGGCAGGAGGTTGTCTGCTGAGGGCACCTCAGACATGTGGACGAACGGAGCAAGCTGCAACCGCGCGTTGCCAACTTCAGGCTGATGTCTTGCCGGATTACGCTCGAGCACACATGAGGTGATGACACTAGCCTGACACCCCTCTGAAACCCACCTGCAGTGCGTGTGCCACCATCTCGTGCTGGGTTGCAAAGCAGCGCGACACTAGCCCGATGTTTGCTGCCTCGTGCCCACCAATCCTCCGCGCCGTAAGGGCCATGTCAGCCGCAACACCATGCCTGGATATGCCAGCAAGGGCAGAGTGTGAGAGGCAAGGAGAAGAAAAGAGAGCTTTAGGTGGGTCCCGCCAATTCACTTTCATCCCTGCATCAGTGCGGTACATGCGCTTGTGGGCACGCATGCAGGCAGCAGGCAGCACGCCTGTGCAGTGTGCAGGCCGCACCCAACAATTGCCGGCAGCCGCTGCAGTGTCCCAAGGTCTGCTGTGATGGCCACGTCCACCTCCTGCATGGGAGCAAGAGGCCCACAGTGACGTGATTAGGATGGAAAACACACACACACACTCACACACACACACACACATACACACACACACATACACACACATGGAGACAAGCCCTCACTGCTGCATGAATTCCTGTGTCGAGCACCCCAACCACCAAAGGGGTGGACCCGGCGTTGATAAGGCTTGCCCATCAAGGATGGCGAGCAACATCCATGCATGCACTGAACCTTGGCAGCCCATGCGGCACGCAGCAGCCACAGCTGGCCGCACCCACCTTGACGCAGAAATACGCATCTGCAGGAAGCAATGATGGGCGCAGCGAGTGCGAATTGCAAGGGTGGGCCACGCATCCGTATATTGTCTTGAGCTGAGGCTGCCCAGCCACAACATCTGGCTCTTGGCCAACACATATACCCCCTTGTCCCTTTCCTTGTGCCAAGCAAACCTCATGCCCACCGCTCGTGCAGTAGCGCATGTCGCAGGCAGTCACCAGGTCCACACCGGCACCCACACACGCGCCTGCATCACGGGCAGCGCAGTCAAGTAGCCAGCATTTGTTGCAAGAGTGGCAGCTGCTTTGGCGTGAATGCAGGAGACCAGGCAGCAGCTTCAGCTTCTTCGGTGCTGCCAGCAGCACCGCTACCAGCAGCACCGCTGCCAGCAGCACCCGTGCTGCCACCCCCTGGCGCACCATTACCACGCTTGCAGGGCCATGGCCAGCACAAGTACATGCGCAAGCGCTGACCCACCTTGAATCATTGCAATTACGGGCCATGGCTGCATCTCCAGGACACTGTACGCGGTCTGCATTGCAGTAATCGAGTCGAGAAAGCGTCGCCGCTGGCGCGCAGGGCATGGCCCCGCCTCTGTGTTGCGTGCAAAGGTCTGCGCCAGGTAGGACAAATCCAAGCCCCCTGTGAAGTTGGGACCCTCTGCAGCCAGCACCACCTGAGTGTGAGGGGAGTGCGATGAAGGGGCGTCAACATACGATGACTTCAGTGAAGTGAGTCGGCAGTCTGAAGTACTCCTGGTGCGAGGGGGTGTGGCACCGCTATCCCCCCCCAAGGCCGGGGACAGCTGCGCAGCATCGCGCTCAATGTCGTGTGCTGCCTCTCACCACGCGAATTGTGCTGCGAGCTGCCAGCAGCGCGACCGCCTTGTCCCAGTCGCTCCACATGTCACCGTTCCAAGCATTGCCTTTGCTGCCGCGCGCCAGGACGAGCGCGCCGACCTCACCGCCATGTGCAGCGACGCGCCAACCGGCGCGCACGACCGCACCCGGCGCCGAGCCCCAATGGAAGGCTGCCCACTCAGTGCCCTCCATTGTATGAGCTCAGCAGGTGCCGCGCAGGGTCTCGGATGACAGGGATTGGAGCGACGCTCTCCTCTGCTGCAATCAGCTTGCGCCGAAACCGCACGCCAGTACTGCACGTCAAAACCGGGACTGCACTTCAAATTAGGCGGCGGTACCAACATTGTCTCTGCATGACACGGCGTTCATGGTATACGGTAAACAGCCTGTCGCAAGTCGGTTCGAAGCTGCTGCATGTGCTGACCTGGCCGCCTCCCCAGCGCCACACCGGTACCGGTACCGAGCCATGTTTGTTAAACATCTGACATTGGGCCGCCGAAATCATTGCCAGACACCGGTTGCTGCGGCTGATCACGTGTGCAGATCTGACTCTTATCGACTCCTTGGACGTCAGAGGCGCCTGTAGATTCTATCATAAAGAGCAGACATGCGATCAGCTCTTGGACATCCCATGACCCGGTGCAGAGCACCACGCCCGCTCAAAATGGGCGCACAATGCGCGGCCGTGGTGCAACGCCGCCGGCTCCAACCCTTTCACGCCGCGGCCCGCGACGACAGCGGTGCAGCCCGCGCGCCGCCTCCCCGCACCACTGAGGGCGCGCTGGCCGCTACCACGGGGGATCCTCAGCTGCCACTGGTGACACAGCTGGAGGGGGGCGACAAGGCCGACACGTTTGTGACGTCTGCGGGGGTGGTGCAGGACGTGGAGGAGGAGGATGCACGGGTGCGGGGAGCGGGAGGGAGGCAAGGTGGGGCTAAGGAGGGTAGGTGATGACCGTGTTGCGCGGGCGGCAGCGAACGCCCAGGACATGTACAGGCCGCTGCCGACGGCAGCAGGTGTGGGTTGCATTCTGTGCTCGGAGCTTCGCGACGCACTGCTTGTGCTTGTGGGCAATCTTCACCCCCCCCCCTAATTCTAGCCCCTTGTTGTGTCCCTGCCGACCAGGCCACCGTCCAAGCCGCCCCCTCCCCCCCTTTCTCATCACAACGCCGTCCAGTTTGACTACCTGGGTGAAACCACTGAGGGCAACCTGCACTTTGTGCAACGCCTAAAGCGCGCCGGAGTGGTCAACCTGTTTGGGCTGGAGTCACTCGAGGGTATCGTCACGACGGACCTGGAGTCACTGCAGGGCGCAGTCCAGGTCAGCAGGGTCGGGTCAGAGACAGGAGGGAACGGGGGCGCCTGCGGGGCCTTGCAGATGCACCGGCGACGAGCATGACTGCCAGAGGCCCCGGCCGTGCTGTGCCGGGGTGAACCATTTTGCACCGCATTGCACAGCGCTTGTTCGGCATGCCCCTCCTCAACGCCACACCTGGACGCCCTCAACTCCATATGCACGTCACAGGAGGTGTTGGACTGCCTGGATGTTCCCCCGGACTACAGCACCAGCCGGCCAGACCGTGCTATCTACTGCAGTCGCACTCTCAACCTGCGGTCTATCAAGTGCATTGGCTTTGACCTCGACTATGTAAGGAGTTGCGGGGTCAGTGGGTACGGGTGCGTGAAGCGGCACATGGGAGGTGTGAGGACGAGAGCGAGCAGGAGCAAGCTTGATTCTGTGGCCAATTTCGCAGTAGTCATGCTGCCACCTGGACCCCCCCTTAAGCCTCACACCCAACCCCTCGGGTGCTCTTCACCCACCGCCGCCAGACGCTGATCCACTACGATGTCGATGCGTGGGAGGGCCGTGCCTATGAGTACGGCGTGGAGGCTCTTAGGCAGCTGGGGGTTCCGGTGGAGGGGCTGCGCTTCGACAGCAGCCTCGTCATACGCGGGTGGGGATGGAGGGGACGGTTTGAGGGGTCACGAGGGCAAAGGTACCGGGGCCTGTTTGATAAATTGCAGCTGCTGCACCCTCAAGGTGAGCGTGGCCTTTAGGAAACCAACAAGCGTTGCTCGAAACATGACAGAACTTTGTTGGCCACCTGAATCTCCACAAATATCGCGCACCGTATACACATGCATCCACAGCCTAATCATGGACAAGGAGCTGGGCAACCTTATTAAGGTCGACAGGTTTGGGTGAGCATGGGGGGGACGGGTGAGAGACACGCATGCAGGGCCCAGTGCAGCTCCCAAGGTGATTTGGGTCTGCTCGGATCCAGCGCCGGTGCCACCCCAGCGATCACCCCATTTTTCCGAAAGCTCATCGTCATCCTCATGTTGCTTTCAGTGCCTAATGCGCCAAACCCAGCCCCACCACACATCCTATGAATCAGGCTCGTGAAGCGTGCTATGCATGGTACGCACATGATGGGCTGGCAGGACATCCGCGAGGCGTACGGCCGTGAGGTGGTCAACCTGCGCAATGAGGGCCGCTGGGTGTTCCTCAACACACTCTTCTCAATCAGCGAAGCCGTGCTCTTCTGCCAGGTTATTTGTGTGTGTGTGTGTGTGTGTTTGTGTGTGTGTGTGTGTGTGTGTGTGTGTGTGGTGCAAGCGCGCGTGCGTGTGTATGTGTGTGTGTGTGTGTGTGAGTGCGCGCGCGCACTCTTGCACGCATGTGAAAGCGTTTATGCGTGTGTCTTTGCGTGTTTTGTATGTTGGTGTGTGGAACTGTGAATATGCACATTTGCCAAAAATAGGCAGCGTGCGTGTGTGTGTGTGTGTGTGTGTGTGTGTGTGTGTGTGTGTGTGTGCGCGCGCACGCGCGCACACACACACGTGCACATGTGCGCACACCCGCGTGTGCGCATGCGTGTCTGTGTCGCGTTAAAAGCGGGGGCGACATCATGGGTGCACGCGGCACCCATGGGCATGCACCTCGTTGGCAAAACCAGCCAGCAGTAGCAAGCACCCGTGTCAACACGCTCACCAGACTGCTGCAGTCTGGTGAGCGTGTTGCACAAAGCGTTTCACGCTACTTCACACACGAATGCATCAACTCACACACCCGCCTTCTTGCTCACCTCCTACCCATCCCCCAAACTCAGCTTGTTGATCGTCTTGACCAAGGTGCCTTCAGCTTTGGTGCTGGTGGTGGCCCTGGTGGCAGCCAGCTGACGTACCAGGGGCTGTACCGCATGGTGGCCAAGGCGCTGTACCGCACACATGTCGAGGGCAAGCTCAAGGGAGAGATCATCAAGGTGGGGGTCTGACTGACCGGGGGTGACGGGGGGCGACGAGGGGACCTGGCAGTGCAGCCCTCTGGCACACACTTGAGTTTGAGAATGAGAGAGTGGAAATCTTTGCAAAGCTTCAGCTTTGTGCTGGGCTTCACTCTGCCACCCCCCTCCCGGCCCCCTCTCTGCCCCCGACTGCACCCCTGCAATCTCCTTGAAGGATCCATCCCGCTTTGTCGAGCTTGATCCCGACATGGCACGCACCCTGCTGGACCAGAGGGACAGTGGCAAGATGATGCTGCTCATCACCAACAGCGACTACCAGTAAAGGGGGGATGCCGAAAAGGATGTAGGCAGGGGGGTGAAGGATTGCTGAGGATGGACATTGGAGCAAGCTGTCGATCTTGCAAATCACACACACAGCGCCACAACGGCAGGGAACCAACACATTGCATGCCCCTCAGCAACTCCATGCGCAAACCGCGATGGCCTTGCTCGACCGCTACACACACACACACACACACACACACACACACACACATACACACACACATCCCCCTCCCTCTCAACCGTGCCCCCCCCCACGCACCCATCCTCCCCCCAGGTACACGTCCACGCTTATGGCCTACGCTTACGACAGGTTCCTGCCAGACGGCATGACGTGGCGCGACCTCTTCGACATGGTGGGCCTGACGGTTGTGAGGCTGACTCCAGAATGGGCCCAGGCCTTCTCTTGCTGGTCGCTTTCCCAGCGTGGCGGCTTAGGAACGCGCGTGGACCCCAAGCTTGCGCCCCCACCACCCCTGGCCACGTGCCCTAAACCTCATCCTGGGCATCACATTTGGTTACACCGACGCAGGTGATCGTGATGGCGCGCAAGCCAGACTTCTTCAGGTGGGTCGACAGTCAGCCTGCAGAGCAGCGTGCATACAAGAACATGCAGAAGCCCCCCACCAGCATGCAAAAGCGCTGGCCGGAGGCCAAATCAACACTTGCATGTGTATGCTGCTGTTAGGTGGCATATCATCGTGTAACAGCACGATGACCACCAACCTGCTTTGTGCGCTCCTCCACACCCACCCCCGCCCCCGCCCATGAAAAACCCTCAGCTACAACATGTCGCTGTACGAAGTGGTCACTGAGGACGGCCTCATGCGGCCGGTGCTGGCAGCAAAACGAGGAGGCCTCTACTGTGGCGGCAGGTGGGGCAGGGAATTGATGATACTTGCAAGGTGTGGCTGCTGAGGTCAGTTGCGGGGCCTGCATGGGCGCAGCAGTCACCCCCTCAGCAGCGACAGTGCGGTGCAGTCCAGGGCATTGTACACTGCTTGCAGTAGATCGCAGCTCACCCCAATCGGTTCCGTCACCTGACGGCATCCCGTGCTGTACTTGGCAATTGCAAAGGAACAACCAGCCCCTCCCCAACCCTACCCCACACAGCGCGCGTATGGTTGAGAAGGCCCTGGGTGTTGAGGGTGATGACATCCTGTACGTTGGGGACCACATCTACACAGACGCAGCACTGGCCAAGATCAACTTCAGGTGGGGCTGAGGAAGGCAAGCTCGCCTCTGCAAGGTGGCATGTGGGCTGCCCAACTGGCGGCCTGCGGGCTCACTGGTTGAGTGGTTTCGCTCTCATCCAGCCTTGCTGTTGGGGTGAAATATTGCTGCTGCTGTGTGTGCACTCCTGGATGAGAGCAACGTTTTCAATTCACGCGGGCGTAACAGCCTGCGTAGTCTCTCTCTCTCTCTCTCTCTCTCTCTCTCTCTCTCTCTCTCTCTCTCTCTCTCGCTGGACCCTGTCTGCACAGCAAGGTAGCTCTCAACCCTTCATACCCAGGCGAGCCCTCCCCCCCCCCACCTGCTCCACCCGTTGCTCCACAGGTGGCGCACGGCCCTGATCCTGCGTGAGCTGGAGGAAGAGGTGGACGCTCTGGCCAGGGGCAGGCCACACCGCGCCAAGCTCAAGGAGCTCATGGCCAAGAAGGTTTGAACGGGGATTGAGGGGGTGGCTGCGGTATTGCTGTCGGCCTGTCATTCCTGGGTCACAACCACCAACCGTTCTTTGTCATGACATATGAGCTTTTGGCCACACTGAGCGGGCTGCATAGCGTGTCAGCAAACCCAACATCTTTCCAAGCATGGAACCTCTCACAGGAAGCGGTGGGATCGCTGTTTGACCACATGCGCCTGGCACGCCAGCGATTTGTCACGGGCCGCCGACCTGGCATGGGCGGTTCAGGCGCCGCCTGCGACGCCGAGAGCCCGCAGCAGTGCAGGTCCTCCTCATCCCTTGCCTCGTCTGCCTCTGCATCCCCGGGGCCTGTGGCGTCCCTGCTGGGCTGTGGTGCTGATGGCCTCCACGAGGACAGCTTCCGGGATGAAGACGCCGTCAATGAGACACTGGCCCAGGTAGGGGGGGTGTGGAGGGGTGTGGTGGGCGGAGGGGCGGTGAGAATACCAAGTGTAATCTTGGGAGGTCAGTTTCATGTCAGTCCACCCTGCGCACAAGCAGGCTGGATTGTGTCCTTCCCGCCATGACACGTGTAATGGATGTCATCATGCTGCTGCTGCTGCTATAGCTGCACAAAATTACGAATTGCGAGCGCTCAAGCACGTGCGTTCGCGTGCGTGCGCCACGCGCGCATTCTCTCTCTCTCACACACACACACACACACACCACGCGCACATGCGCATGTCACATTTCTCCCAACCATCCGAAGCTTCTTTTTGTTATGGAGAGACTTGACGACAGGATAGGCCCCATGCTGGAGCAGGACGGCAGCCACTTTAGTAAACGGTGGGGCAGGGAATAGGGGTTGTACAACGAGCAAGTTGGCGGCAGGGCGTGCCACCAGAATTTCAAAAGCCCCTGCCGCCTTGCAATGTGCTGCACCCCTGGTTGCGGCTGCCCCGCCTGCAAGCATATCCTCTCACAACTGGTGGCCCGTCACAGGTGGGGCTTCCTGTCTCGGGCTGGACTCAACGACAAGAGCCAGCTGTGCCGCCAGATTGAGAAGTATGCCGGTGAGCAGGACACAGCAAATCCAGGGCAGGTATCCCTCGGTGCCTCAACTGCACAGCCAGCAAGGGTGCCGCTGCGGCAGATCATGCGGGCCTCACGTTGCTGCCAGTTGACACAAAAGTCTCCAGGACAATCTGGATTTAGCAGCGCTTGCACCGCTCAGGACAGCGGCAGATTGCAGCTCAATGTGCATGGGTGCGCGTGTCATGCTGTCGCTCAATCCCATGAATCTTGCGCACGTGCCCACTGACCCACCTACCTCCCGCGTTCCCAGACGTCTACACCAGCCGCGTCTCCAACTTCATGCGCTACACACCCTACGCGTACTTCAGGCGGGCGGGGTGGGGGCAGGGTGCTTGCGTCAAGGGGCTCAGAAAGGAGCCTTTGTAAATGCAGGCAGGCATAGCAAACGGCAGCATCTCTAACTTATCAGCAACCTGCCCGCCCCATCCCACCAGCTGGCCGAGTCATTCAGCAAAGGTCCAGATGCCCAGCCTATTTGCCATCTTTGGCATGCATGCACTACCTGCAAAGGCCCCCTTATTCCTCACCCCTTGTGCAGGTCCCCCAGCCAGAGCTTGGCGCACGACCGTGGCCTCACCTCGTACTACGAAAGGGTACTCCGGGGCAGGGAGGATGACGAGGATGAGGCAGCAAACATAGGGGCTGCCAGAGGACGGCCAGGCAGCGGCGGCGCTGCGGCGCATGGGTCGGCCAACGGGGGCCATGCAGGAGTTAGCCCCGCCGCCAGCGGGAGCTGGAGTGCTGCTCTCTCTGAGGACCAGATCAGCGACGGCGGCGAGGCAGGGACCAACAGCAGCAGCGGGAGCCAGGAGCACCCCGGCGAGCAGCCGGTGACGCGTTGACCGTGCAGTCGGGTTTTGAGTGCTTGTTGATGCAGCTGCAGCTGGATGCGGGGACCACCATCCTGTGAGAAACACGGCCTGCACAAGGCCTGATTGCCTGCGTGACTTAACATGCCACCTTGCCTGCGAGACAGCCGCAGATGTGGCATGGCTTTGTATCTCCTGTCAGTGGTGGGTAGGTAGGAGGGCCGTGTAGGGATGGCACTGATTTTCATGCTGCACTCACGCTTCCGAGGACAATTGGGCTGCAATCGCTGATGATGCGGACGTTCAGGCTCGAATCATCTGCAGTTGAGAAGTTGGCATTTTTGAGGCCGCACCACCCTAAGCCCATAGGGTTGGATAGGCCACTCCGGCTGGTAAATACCTGCCAGGCTGTGCTTTAGCCTGACATTCATCGTCTGATACATTGCGACCCTGGAATGGATCCGTTGTTGCGCTATGCACAATTTGTACGATTGTAATGCTCCACACGGGCAGCAACGTCCCACTTGTTGTGATATGTCATGTCATACAGATGCCAATGTTGTTATGTGGCGCTGAGGTGAGGTGATGCCACGGTGAAGTCTGCAGTGGTTGGCACACGCATGCGGCTAGGCGGGGATGATGTAAGCTCAAGTCAACCCGAAAAAGGGCCTTGGTCCTGCAGGAACAGAGTGAAGCCATGCAGCAGGTAGCCCCTTCCCGGTCTAGAACTGCTGCTTTTCTCCCCTACATGTTGTTCTAGCAGATCAAGAATCTTTCTCACTATTGCTGCACCCTCCATTTGTCCCTCTGACAATTCAACACACGAGCAAAGATGTCATCGAATTACCGGTAGTCCAACAAGTCGCATGCGTGCACTGAGGAGCACGCCGTTACCCTGTGGTGTCTGGAGGATCCCCCAAACAAGGACCTTTATATAATCTTCAGCTCCTGTAGCATCTATATCTTTCCGTCCCACTCAAGCGGGGCTATTTGTCGAGTAGGTCGTCGAATGGTCCAGCGCCCCGCCAAGGATCTGTGTGCTTCGCAGCGACAGGGCCAACGCGCTTGGCTGCAGGAGAGTGCAGAGTTTCTAAAACCATTTTGTTAATCAAGGGTATAAGCGGCGCCAGAACCTTGATGCCGGAAAGTGAGATGTTCAGATGTGGTCGTGTCCCCCACGTTTTTTTGTCATCCCGAGACCACCCCTCCCCAGAAGAACCTGTCCGTTCATGCGGCACCAATTCAGAGATCCATTAGTCTTCGACATCTTTTCCGCGCCCTCCCGCAGCTCCTGGCCCACAACAGCCATCATCAGCGCTCCCGGTTGTGAAAAAGTGTGCAGCGACGCCCAGCCCAGGCGCACCTTGGCACCCCACCATGTCAAATCAGCTCTCCAGAACGTCTTTGGGCGAACCCCGTGGCGCTGCGGCGCTGCCCTCATGTCGGCGCTGCAGCGCCCATGGCTCACATGGGCGCTTCGCAAGCTGGCAGCCAGCCCGAACCTTGCCAGGATGGGCTGGTAGCAGGGCAGGCTACAACAGCAGCAGTCTCGCTTATGTACACCCCTCCCAAAGCAGTACGCGCGGCAGTTGTGTCCGCTTGGCTGCACTCAACAACGGCGCCAGTAGCAGGAGCCACAGTAGCAGCAGCAAAGCCAGCAGCAGCTGTGGCAGCAGCAGCGCAAGTAACGCCGCCGCCGGTCCCCCCAGTGATGAAGCGACAGCAATCGCCACGCTGGCGGCATCGCTAGCCCTAGGTGCTCTCCTGGGGGGTGCGGGTGTTGGCCTGGACGAGGCCCTGCCGCCCTCCGTGCAACGAGTCAGCTCCTTCCTGGGATGGTCCTACTTCACTGCGTGGAGCCTCTCTTTTGCGCCACAAGTGAGGTTCAACCATGCGTGCGGGCACGGCAGGGTTTGCTCCAATATGCACTGCATTAGTACCAACCCCTGCAGTAGTGACGGGTTGTTTGTGTGCGTCAGGGGTTTGCTGCATCACGCGCTGCAACAGTTCGGAACCCCTGACGCACACAAACAACCCCTTGCGAGCGCATGCATGCTCATTCACCGTGTCACCCACTTCACTTGTTCATCCAATTCCACCTTCTTTTGATGCAAACCCCCGCCAGTTGATTGACAACCAGCGTACACATGATGTCAGCGGCCTGTCGCCCGACTACGTGATGTTCTCACTCGTGGGCTACCTCTGCTACGCCTCATACACGGGGGCCCTCTACTTCAGGTGGGGGGGGGGATGGCTGGGGTCAGCGGAGGAGGGTCTGGCTCTGCCGGATGTGGCGTAGGCGCGGCGATCACGCGGGCCTCTAGCTTGGTAGTTGGAGGAATAGGTCCCACTGGCCTGCGCTGACAAGCCCATCCAGCTCTTATTTGGGCCGGGCCCCTGCACCGCCCTCCCCACCTCGCACACCGCAGCGACGACGTGCGCGCGTCCTACGCAGCGCTACACGGCGGCGCCATGCCTGACATCAGCGCCGCCGACTTCTCGTTTGCAGCGCTGGCAGTGGTGGCCACGCTGGGCGTTGCGGTTCAGCACTCCCTGTGGCGGCGCCCCGGCGACAAGGTCCTCAGCCCCTTTGCTGTGTCTGTGGGCGGCGTGGTGGTGCTGTCAATTGCGGGCTGTGCAGCGCACATCCATGCAACCTGCGAGGGAGTGCCGGACTGCGCATCCTGGCTGCCCATGCTGGTCTTGCTGGGCGGGTTCAAGGTGCGCGGGACGATGTGCGGCGTTCGACAGCCTGCTTGCAGTCTTGCAGGCGCGACTGTGCCGCGTGCGTCGCATTCGCAGCGTGTGTCAATGGCCCCCATCCGACCTGACTCGCCCCTCATTGTGGGTTCTGTCGACCGCCCCTAACCAGGTGCTCATGACTGTCATCAAGTGTGAGTCATCACCACCGCTAGCTGCGCCGCATCTTCGTCCTGATGAGCAGACGCTGCCACACACAGCCGCCTTGCACGCGCCCACACGAGCAGCCAGTCAGCCCTGCATGATCCCTTCCCCGCACGGTCCAGCTCAACGCCACCCACCTCCAGCCCCACCCCCGCCCCCACCGCTTGTCGCCACAGACACGCCCCAGGTGCTGCACAACCACCAGCGCGGCTCCACGGAAGGCTGGAGCACCCCCGCAGTCATGCTGGACGTAGCAGGGGGCGTGCTGTCGTTCTCGCAGGTGGGGTCGCAGCTGTGCCTGCGAGCGCCTTCAGCGCGCTCATGTGCGCCATGTGATACCAGAAACTATTCCACTGCAGCTGCCGCACTGCCGCTTTTAGTGCGTGCAGGGCTGAGCCTGCCAGCGCACATGCGGTCGATGCAAGCCGGCTGCTCACAACGCCGGCCCCTCCCCCTGCAGGTGATGCTTGACGCTCTGGCGCGTCATGACCTGTCAGTCATCACGGGGAACCCTGCGAAGCTCTGGGTCGCTGGCCTCAGCATCGGGTGAGCATTTGCGCGCCAACGCCAGCCGCACAATACTGACGCGCGCCCCTCCAGACTGTGCCTTGGGACGACCGTGCTACGATAATGCCGATGGCATCTATTCCGTTCCCAATTGGGAGGGCTTGGCTCATGACACCCTGCCCTGTTGACCCCACCGAACATAAACAGGTACGATGCAATCTTCCTGGCGCAGCATTTCATGTACAAGAAAACACCGGCCGCAGCGCAGGCTGGCGTTATTGTGGGCGCCCTTGCACAGCCGCAGCCGGCCACAGCTGGCGCGCGTGAGCAGCCCGTGCTGGCGTTCGCAGCCATCGACCGTCGCCAAGGGGGTCGCGGCGGTCTGAAGCAGCGCCTGTGATCCGCCTGTGGTGCGGTTGCCTCAACGCTGCACAAGCGACACCTCACCACCGCGGCAGAGGCCGTGCGCCTTTTGAGGGGCTTGTCTCGAGGCCAACTGTACTTGTATAATTCCCTGAAAGCCGAGCCGCACACGCCGAATTCCTCGCATACCTGTGCTGTTGACGAAATTGAGTTTGCTCTGCACATTCCTGGGAGGCGTCGTGCAGCCCGCAGTCGACCCATGCGCTGCCGCCTGGCAGACCGACATGATGTACCAATCGTCCCGGCCCACACACAGCCACTCCACCTCCCCGCAACAAAGGATGTGCATGCGGCACCAGCTCAACAAGAGTTGGCGCTTGCGCTCACAATGCGTCGCGCAATGCACGCAGCTGTCACTTTCCAGTGGTCCGGGTGGTCCGGGCCTTTTTGAAACGCAATTCTTGATCGCAGCATCGCAACGGCCCCGCTTCACCGTGCAGCGGGCGCCCATCGCGCGCCTGTACCAACGCTCCAATTTGTATACGGCACATGTCTCACGTCTTGCCTTTCTTTCTGTGCTGGCACACCCTCTCGTCAGGAGGGCGCCAGGCAGCCCGACACTGCCCTGCCACACGCGCGTGCTGCGGCAGGTCTGTCCTGGCGCCAACCCTGCATTGGAGGTCTGGGCAGCCGAACCCAAACCCAGCCTGCAGGTGCATTCTGGTTTGTACCATCATGTTCTGTATGCTTGGCAAGCATCTATTTTTTCCGGACTAGGGGCCCTAGCACTAGTTGCCGCGGTTGCTGTGCATGATGAGCGCGGCACGTTGAGCGGTGTCCTCAAGCACCAGCAGCCAGCAGCCTCAAGCAAACGCAGCACTCGCACGCTGTTGCTGTGTCGTGCGCCCTGCTTCACTGCTCGTGGACCTTGTGCATTCTGCAAACCCAAGCAGCAGGTTGGCTTATGTGTCGCTGCTGTTCTGGTCTCGTGCCGGCTGGTTGCGAGACAGCTATGCGACCTGCAGGCCTTGGTAACACCTGACCCACCTGCGTCTGATATGCGATTTACAGGCAGCCCCTATCGCAGCCGTTCCGGTTGGTACATGACGGTTTCACCCTTAAAATCTGGTCGCAAGTGCTGCCCACTAAATGGTTACGGGGGAGTTCTCACAGTCTCTGAGCGTGCTTGCATTAATCCAAGCGGGCAAGGCTGTGGTTTATTTGGGTGGGGCACCAAAACCACCCAAAATAGGTAGGGCGTGGCTGTGTTTGCACGTGGGCATATCTGGGAGCACGACCAGTCATCCGTCAATGGTGCAGGCAGCTGTGTTGGCGCTTGCTGTGCCCTCACACAAGCAGTGGCAGTCCCAAGCGCAACGACAAAGGCATCTGCATGCAGGCCCACTCCGAACAAAGAAGCCGCACCAGCAACACAGCTGGTGTGATGCGGCCAGAGCATGGCGTGTTGGTCGCCTGGCATCAGCCAACGAGCCAGGCTGGGTATACGTATAGACCACAAACAAATGCATGCTAGTGCGGCACAGCAGGGGCAACTAACAGAGCAGTTACACAACATGCACAACACGCACCGGCTGTCATGTGCATGTTTCACTACCTCCCCGGCAAACATAGGTAGCTCACTGTTCCAGCTGATATCACACTGACACCCCAGAGTTTGCACAGCAGTGTGTCAATGGGCGTTTAGGCAGTACCAAGTGGGGTGAAGTCTAGGGCTTCCAGCCAGCTGCAAGCACGTAGTGCACACCAAGCACATTCAGCAGCGCCACAGGCCTAAATGCTGCCGCAGCCCTGCGTACTGTTGCACTATGCTATTTGAGGGTGCCCTCTACAGTACTTCAGCTGCCTCACACTGATGCCTGATGGCACGGCACTGGCTGTGCAAGTGCAAGTTCAGGACTGCAGAGTGTGTCCACACCCCTGGCTCCACACACGTCCTGCACACAGCCTGCAGAATAGCCACGTCACACTGGCTACACATGCGGCGAAAGCAGCAGCAGCAGCAGCAGCAGCAGCAGCAGCAGCAGCAGCAGCAGCAGCAGCAGCAGCAGCAGCAGCAGCAGCAGCAGCAGCAGCAGCAGCAGCAGCAGCAGCAGCAGCAGCCCAGGTTTGAGCGTTTGCAGCCTGTTTGGGGTACACTGCCAGGCTTCTCCTGGTCGCAACCCTGAAGCAATCCCGGTTGCAGCAACAATCAACCCTTTCTAGCCACGAGTGGTCCCGCCCCTGCACTTTGATGCAAATCACTCGTCTTATAGCTTGCCTCCACCAAGCACTTCTGCCATTACGGATTGAGCTGCTGTCCTTTCATTGTGCGTACCTGGGCCGACCTGACGAAGTGGCCTGTATGGTACTCCAAACTGCCTGTTCTCAGAACAGGGACTGCCAACGGCCTTGAAATCATCCCAGCAAATCTTCCAGCATTACATCAGCGTTGGTCAATGCCGTAACGCTTCCACAGCATGGGCAGCAAGCACGTGACACATCATTTCTTGGGCTGACCGTACGACACGCGTATGCCGCGGCCCCTCATCACATGACCGTCCAGCTGGATGGCCCTGCGGACACATATTGCGGGGCAAGAGAGAATTGTCAGGCGCCAGCTGGCAGAGGGCGAGAGCAGTGCGTAGGGTGTGCGTGCCTGTGTGCTGGACTGTCGCCACCGTATTGCCATCACAACTGCTGCCGTTCATCGTCCCACCGTATCATTGTAGCCAGTAGCAACCCGTGGAGACCTTGAGGAATTTGACAATTGCATGCAGGACTGGGCCCCAACACGTACACACAGCCCACACCCCCTCCACACACACACGCGTGCACGCACACACACACACACACACACACACACACACACACACTCATAACTCACTTGTCCAGGCCAGCCTCATCCTCAAAGTGCACGTGAGCGTAGCCCTTGGATCGCCCTGTATTTTGGTCCGTGTGCAACCGCACCAGCTTGACGCCGCACTCCTCAAACACGGCCCGCAGCTCGTCTGGCGTCACCTCAAACGCCACGTTGCCGACATACGCCACGTTGTACCCCGGAGTCTTGGCCGCCCGGCCGCTGCTGCCCGTGGGCCCGCCACGATTGGTGCTGGCAGCGCTGCCCTTTGGAGGGTCTGCCGCATGGTCCAGCTGCGGCGCCGCTGCATCAGAATGGGTCGCAGGGGCCGTCGTCGTTGCGTAGGCTGCCGCGCTGCTGTTGCGTCGGGCTCCTCCTGCGGCCGCCTTGCACTTATCGACCTGCGGCCCATTGGTGGGTTGGGGTTGAGAGGATGAGGCACCAGGATTGTTGAGGCGCATGCTGCCCAGGCACAGCACATGACACCATCAGGGCTCGCGCAGGCGCCCTCAATCACAGACCACCCTTAGTACAGGCGCATCCGTGCAAGGTGCAGTATCAGATAGGCCCCCTCCCTCCTCTCATGCCGCCCACCTTGAGGGTCTGCCCGTCCAGCTGCTCCCCGTCGCAGGCCAGCGCCGCGTCGTAGCCCGCCTGCTCCTTGAAGGTGATGAACGCGATGCCCCTGAAGCGGCCGCTGTCGGGGAACGTCAGCATGTCCAGGGCCTCGATCTCGCCGCACCACGACCAGTACTCCTCCACCTGCTCCCGGCTGTAACTGTAGGGCATGCCGCCAACAAACACCTGGCGTGCGAGGGGTGTGTGCGGGTTTCGGGAAGGGACGGGGGTTCATGGAGGGTGCGGTAGCGTAGTCTGCAAGGAACCACTCGGTACGCTGAGCCGGTCGCCCTGCAGCCACCCGTGCTGCATGCATGCGGGGAACCTGTCATTGCACGTTGTGAAGGCAGCCCCAGGCTTTTCAACAAAGACCGACCTGAACTGAGCTTCGTACGCCCAATTTTTCTCTACCCACCCACCCCCCACCCCCCACCCCTCACCCTGCGCGGGATGTGGCCGTCCTTGTCGGCCGAGTCGATAGCGTGCAGCCGCGCCAGCTTCGCCTCGGTGTCGGCCTCAACCTGCGCCACCACCTCCGCGTCAAAGGAGAACGCAAACCCGCCGCCCGGCCGAGCAGTGGATCCCTCAAAGCCAAGCACGCTGCGAATCTGCTGCGCCTGGTCGGCGTTGCCCGCCTTGGACTGCTGCTGCTGCTGCTGCTGCTGCTGCTGCTGCTGCTGTTGCTCACCGTTTATGCCTGCACTGTCGGCCTGCTTCTGCTGCGTTTGCTTCTTCTCTTGCTTCTCCTTGTTGCTGCTGGGCTGTTGCTTTGGCTGCTCCTGCTGCTTGCCCTTTTCACCCTTTTGCGTATTGCCTGGCACGTCCTCATCAGAATGTGACTCTGATTCTGAACCTGAGGCCTGCTGCTGCTGCTGCTGCTTCTGCTGCTTCTGCTCGTGTCGACTTTTTTTCTTCCCGCGCGCATCGACGCCAGCCGCCGCGCTGCCGTCGGCATCCTGCCGACGCTTGCCATTCTGTAGGCGAGCGACATGCGAGAGCGGCGGGTCCTTGCTGAAGTTTTGTCGCAGGAAGGCTGCGGCAACACAGGGTGCAGCTCTTGCTCTGCTCAATGACTTGAACAGTCAACCTTGCCCCGGCGTTCTGGGCACCGACTGCAGCGAGTGCTGCGAGTGCTGTGCCACCGGTCACTCAGCCACACCACACCACACCTGCAGGACCTCCTCTATGCTGGTGTAGCGGCTGTAGAGGATAGGCACGCCTTGCTCATCCACCTCGGGCACGCGGCGGCCGACCCACAGACCCTGCCATGAAGCGCGCGGGTGCGTCAGAAGGCGGCGGCCAGCCGGCGCAAGCTGAGTGGCGTAGGGGCAGTTGGCAGCGTAGGGCAGCTATCGCCCAGCCGTAACATAACACTAAGTGTTGCACAAACCTGCTTCTTGCCGCGCTGCATAATCTCCTCTGATGACGGACGGCCGATGGTGCAGCTTGCCGCGGTATGATACAAGGCATCCCTTTGCTGTGCAGACTATCGTGGCGATTCCCCTCTCGGGATACCGTAGCTTGCTAGCGCACGTGCCGCCCGCCCTTCCCAACACTACAAAAATACAAACGCCCAACAACGGCCCGTGGTGCATATGTGTACGTTCCTTTGCGCGTTGTGCAAATTGCACGCCTGATCTAGCTTATTTACCGCGAGGTTCAAGCGCGCTTGCATGATCTCGTGGTGCTTTTTTCGCACTCCGCCCGGATGGACCCGCAGGCTCTGCGGGAACAGCAGGCTTTGATTACACAGCGACAAGGCCAGCAGTATGCGGCACAGTTGCTGCAGCAGCTGCAACGGCAGCAGGCGCTGGCGCTGGCGCAGCAACAGAGGGCGGGGGGAGCGGCAGCTGCGCTGGGCGCCCATGCTTCAGCCAGACTCATGCCGGGGCTGGCCGTCCCTGCTGCTCCTGCAGAAGACCAGGATGTAGCCCCTGACGAGGAGCTGGTCGAGGTGGGCACCCCATCATGGGTGGAGCGGGCCGTTGTTTTTTTACGTGATCTCACGGAAGCATCAGGGGACGCCAAAACGCACATGTGCCGCGGGTACGAGCAGCAAGAGGCAGGATATCTGGAAAAGCATCAGTCAACCGCTTGCGCAGAAGGCGGTTGGCAGATGATGTTGCCCATGAAGGGGAGTGCAAGCCTGTCGCCTCGTGACTAGGTTTGCTGCGAGCCTTCCTGGCAGGGAGATTGAGCCCGAGTCACAGGTGCACTTGGCGCAGTGCTGTCAGCTGCAAGCTTCTTGACAGGCCCGTGGAATGGCGCACCTTGCACGATCCACTCCGCCGTCCTCATCCCTTGCCCACCGGTTGCGATGCCGCGGACCAACGCCCACCCCATCGCCCCCTGCCCAGGCGGAGGAGGACGAGGAGATCTACGAGGCCTACCTGCCCGCGCGCCTCGCGGAGGGCACGCCTCACCCGGACGTCATCGTCGAGACGGCCAGCCTCGCCTCTGTCAAGCCGCCCGCGGTCACCTACCAGCACCACCTGCAGGTGCGGCCATGCACTCAGGGGCCGGTGCCCATGCGCTGCGCAGGCTGCGTGTACCATCATCAATCGCGCGCTGAGACCCGGGACAGCATGCCACCTCAGATTGCACTGCCTTACCACCGCCTCAACCGGACCCGCAATTTCACCGCCAGGACATTGTGGCTGCGGCGTCGATCTCCAACGCGCAGCTGGAGACAGTGGTTTATGCCAACCAGCGCTTTGCGCAGCGGCTGCCTGGAGGGGCACGCGCGGGGTTCTTCCTGGTGGGCCCCGGGGGGGGGGCACCGCTGTGGAGGGTTGGAGATGGGCTCTCACAGCTTTGGCGGCATACGGGCACCAGGGCGCACGCGCAGATGATCGAGCACCCACCCGACAGCACGGGCATGCCATCGGACGCCCAACAATGCAGGGTGACGGCGCGGGCGTGGGCAAGGGGCGGCAGATTGCGGCCCTGATTCGCGAGTTCTTTGAGACGGGTGGCAGCCGCGTGCTGTGGGTGTCGACCAGGTGCGGCCATAGCATGCAGGGTGTGTGTGTGTGTGGGGGGGTGTGACGAGTGGCGGAGGATTCGTAAGGGCCCGCCCATGGCCCTCACAGCTGCTGCCAAGGAGCGCTTGACAACCGGCTGCGTTGGGGTTTTTACACTATGACATAGCAAGCGGGCGAGACCCCTTAGGACTCCACCCCTCTGCTTCCAGCGCAATCCCCGCCCCACACAAACACACCACCCCATCACAACCGCCCCTGTCCTTACAGCACTGACCTGCGCTATGACGCGCGGCGTGACCTGGAGGATGTCGGGGCCCTGGGCGTGGAGGTGCAGCCCCCGGTGAGAGGCGGGGGCCAGACGCGCGCCCAAAGCGGGTTTAGTCATGGCCTGCAAGGGTGGCGTGGGCACGCCATCACACCCCAGTGGCGATGCGTCCCCACCCATCCTCCTGCCTGCTGCGAGCAGGAGAAGGAGGCTCTGCCGAAGGGCCAGCTGTCGGAGCACTACGAGGAGGGCGTGCTCTTCGTCACATACAGGTGCGGTGGGTTTGACGTGTTTGGAGGTGAACCAGCTTTATGTCAGGCAAGTGAGAAGGCTCTGGATACGGACTCACAACGGGAATCACACCTGGCGTTTGTCACGCTGTTGTTGGCTGACGGGGTACGCCCCGCTGCCCACCCTGCCGCACTTTGAAACACCCTTACAGCCTTGTGGCCAAGATCGGCGGCCAGGACGCCGGCAACCGCCGCGGCCTCCTCTCAGACGCGCTGCGCAGCGCCTGCAACGGCCAGCCGCCCCCGACTGCCGGTCGCGGGAGGGGGCGGGGCCGGGGCCGTGGGCGCGGGCGTGGGGCGGCGCAGTCAGCGGCGGATACGCAGACGGCAGCGGGCACTGCTGCGACTGTGCCTGCGCAGCCGCTCACTGCACTGGAGCAGACCGCCATGACTCTGGCCAATGCCGGGGTCAAGCAGGGCAGCAGGTGGGCCAACAGGGGCGAGCGAGGCCAGATGGGCGCTTCATCCTGCACTGGTGTGGTGCAGAGCGCTGCGCGTTGCGAGCCTCCCGGTGCAATGCGCCCATGATAGCTGCGATGTTGTGCGTCCTTGCACCCCATTTCTCTAGGCTGTGGCAAATTGCAGAGTGGCTGGCGGGAGAGGACGGCTCTGGGGAGTGCATGATCGTGTTTGACGAGGTGTGGAGAGGGGCATGGCAGCGGGTGGGGTTGCTTGTGAGGGGCAAGTGCAGGAGGTTCTGTACAGAAGGGCGAGTGGGTGCGGACAGCATGCGTTGCAGCAGTAACGCAATGGCATTCCATCAGTGGGTGTCTGTCTAATGCCTAGTGCCACAGCTGCAGCTCATCCGCAGCTTGGCTTCGATGCACGCTTGTACGACCGCATTATCCCGCCCCGCCCGCACGCCCCAAGGCTCACCGCGCCAAGAACCTCGTGGCGGATGAGAACAAGTCCACGCAGACCGGCCGCGCGGTGGCCGCCATCCAGAATGCACTGCCCAACGCGCGGTGAGGGAGTCCTCAGGGACGGGGCGGAGTAGGGACTCACAGCACAAGCCTGGTCTTTTGGTGAGGCAACACAGCTATGCATGCTGCCACGGGCCGCCGTCTGGGGACCACCAGGCTGCTTCCCCGCCGCCAGGCGCCCTGATGTGGCCGCTGAGGCCCTCTTGCGCTGCCCACAATCCCCTCGCAATGGACTCCAGGGTGCTCTACTCGTCCGCCACGGGGGCCAGTGAACCGCTGCACCTGGCATACATGACGCGGCTGCTGGCACCAGGTGATCAGTCTGGCGGCCGCGCCAACCCGCGAAGGGGCCGCGGCTTCTGCAAGTCGCCTGCAATGCTATTGACCCAGCGAGGGCGCTTATGCTCACCTCTTTGCTGCCGTGTCCCCAACGGCCGGCCACCTTGATACTGCAGCTCACTCCCCCACCAGCCGCAACCGCTGGCCCTTCACCCCCTTACTCCCCACAGGATTCCGCGACACCTTTGATCTGGTGTCAACCCTCAAGAAGGCGGGGCTAGGATCGCTGGAGCTCTTTTGCATGGGACTCAAGGTGGGGCGGAGGGCGCGGTGGGGCCACATGTTGAACAAGCTCGAGCAATTGTGCGTGCGAGGCGGCAGCCGGGCATGTGCTATGCGGTGCAGCAAGATGGTATAGCCCACAATAGCTGTAAAGATGCACAGTCTTGAGCACAGCACGGCTTCAGCAGCATCTCTGGTCAAACCTTCCTCAAGATCTGCACTATCTCGCAACCTCACGCCATGCCCATTTTATGGCCCCTATCTGCTCCAACTCTGCCCTGCCCCCAAGCCAACCAACCCCCCCATCGAAACACATGCACACACCCTGTCCAACGACCGGCCTGCAGGCCACGGGGTGCTACCTGGCGCGCACCCTGAGCTACAAGGGGGCGGACTTTCAGATGGAGAAGATCCACCTGGACCCGGGGTTCAGGTGGGGGAGCAGGAGGGGGA